CCCCTATAATGTGGATATTGTTCCTTTTGGATTGGTCACACAGTTCTCTTAATATTGTTTCATTCCTGGAGATCCTTTTATCTCTCTCTGTGTCAGCTTCTATGCATTCCTGTTCTGTGGTTTCTATTCCATCAATGGCCTCTTGCATCTTATCCATTCTGCTTATAAATCCTTATGGAGATTGTTTCATTTCTGTAATCTCCTTCCGGACTTCATCCGTTAGCTTTAGCATATTTCTCTGCAGCTCCATCAGCATGGTTATGACCTTTATTTTTATTTCTTTTTCAGGGAGATTGGTTAGGTCTATCTCCCCAGATTCCCTCTCAGGGGAGGATGTCTGGGTTATTCTGGTCTGTATCAAGTTCTACTGCCTTTTCATGGCGATAGAGGTAGTTGTGCAGAGCTGGCATGTGTGTTAGCTGCGAGAATGTCCCTTCTTGCTGGTTTGTGGCCTTCCTCTCCTGGGAGAATGGCGACCCCTAGCGGTTTGTGCTGGGCAGCTGTATGCAGACAGGTTTTCTAATTCTTTCCTGGCCGCTGTGAAAGAATCTCTGACCTGCTGCTGTGGACATGGCCAGCCTCAGGCCACTCCTCCACTATGGCAGATTGGCGTCGGAGGGGAAACGGGTGGGAGGCTGTTTATCTCTGTTAGGGGCCTCCGAGCTGCGCTCCTGCCCAGTGGGTTAGGGCGCCCGGAGTTCCCCAGGATTCCCAGCTGCTGGGCTAAGTGTCCCAGGATACTTCCATCCAGCAGTGGTGTCCCTGTCCTTTAAGTCTTTCAAAAAGCACTTGCTTTTCTTTGTCCCAGGGGTGCCGGCTGCAGGGACCCACTCGCAGGTTTTACTGTCCCGTTTCCCTAGTTTCCAGCAGCCCCATGCACTGTGTGTCTGTGCTCTGGTGCGGATGGCTAGGGCTGGGTGTTTAGCCGTCCTGGGCTCCCTCTCCCTCCCCGCTCTGACTCCTCTCCTCCCACCAGGAGCTGGGTTGAGGGGCCTCGGGTCCTGCCGGGCTGCGGCTTGTATCTTACCCCCTTCACGAGGCGCTGGGTTCTCGCAGGTTTAGATGTAGCCTGGCTGTTGTCCTGTATCTTCTGGTCTCTCTTTTAGGGATTGTTGTATTTGTTGTATTTTCAAAAATACATATGGTTTTGGGAGGAGATTTCCACTGCTCTACTCATGCCACCATCTTGGCTCTGCTTTCCCAAGCACTGATTTTTAAAGTGACTCTTAAAGTATTAAAATTCACCACCAACCTTAAGTAACTATAACCTTCTATCTGTATTGTATTTGTTAAAATAAGTTTTTATAACCTAACAATGATTCCACAAAGACTGTTGTAATTAAGAATCATTGAAACATAAATTGTCATTGTAAAAATAGGAAATATTTTTTTTTTGAGAGGCCGTCTCTCATATTTATTGATCAAATGGTTATTAACAACAATAAAATTCTGTATAGGGGACTCAATGCACAATCATTAATCAACCCAAGCCTAATTCTCAACAGTCTCCAGTCTTCTGAAGCATAATGAACAAGCTCTTACATGGTGAACCAGTTCTTACATAGTGAGTAAGTTCTTACATGGTGAACAGTACAAGGGCAGTCATATCACAGAAACTTTCAGTTTTGATCACGCATCATGAACTGTAAACAATCAGGTCAGATATAATTATTCCTTTGATTTTAATACTTGATTTATATGTGAATCCCACATTTCTCCCTTATTATTATTATTAAAAAATAGGAAATATTTTTAAATAAACATCATTGAGGTATTATTTACCTATATTAAAATACACCTATTTTAAGTGTACAGCTAATAGAGTTTTATATGTTTAACCCTTTACCAGTTAATGGACTTCTGGGTTGTTTCAAGATTTAGTTTATGCATTCCATATCTATTGCTGTGTAACATTATTCCAGAAGTTAGCAGCTTACAACAAGTTGATTATCTCACAGTTCTGGGGTTCATGAGTTCAGGCACGGCATAGCTAAGTGCCTCTGGCTTAAGGTCTCATGAGAAAGCCGTTAAGGTGTGGGCCAAGATTGTGGTCTCATCTGAAGGCTCAGTTTGGGTAAGGGAAGAGAGAGGATGCACTTCCAGGCTCATTCATGTGGTGTTGGGGGGCCTCAGAAGGTCATCTTCTGTATACAGATATGTGGATCTCCCCACAAGGTTACCAGGTGGCTTCCCTCACCATAAACAATCTAAAAGAGAGTGAGAGAGAGCTCCCATGACAGAAACTGTCTTTTCATAATCTAATCTTGGAAGTGACATCTCACCACTTCTGCTTTATTTTATTAAAAGTAAGTCTGTAAACCCAGCCTACATCCAAGGAAACTTGATTATAAGGACATGAATACCAAGAGGTGGGGATCTTTGGGGGCCAACTTAGAAGCTGCCTACCACAGGCTATGAGCAAACTGCTATGAACACTCATATACAGTTGTGGACATATGTTTTCAGTTATTTCATCTGGTAGATACCCAGAAGGACAATGCTGGCTTTTATGGTGAGTATTTAACTAGATAAGGAACTGCCAAATTGTTTTCTAATATGGCTATACCATTTTTCATTCCCATTGGTGAAGTGAGTTCTAATTGCTCCATATTCTCATCAGCACTTGATACTATCTATATTAAAAATTTTAGCCATTGCAGTGGCATGTAGTGGTACATTGTTGTGGTTTAAATTACATTTTTCTAATGATTAATTGATTTATTTGAGCATTTACCCATGTACTTATTTGAGCATTTATTCATATTTTTGTAATTTTTACATTTAATTTGTGAAATGTCTGTTCAGATTCTTGTTGTGGTTTTTAATTACTTTTACTGAATTTTAAGAGTCATTTATAAAATACTCTAAAAACCAGTCCTTTATCAGATATGTGATGTATAATGTTTTCTCCCAGTCTGTGGCTTGTCTTCTCATATTCTCAGTATTGTCTTCAGAGAACAAATGTTAATAATTTGGTGAAATCCAATTTGTCAGTGTTTCTGTTTTATGGATTACTCTTTTGTATTGTATCTAAGAAATCTTTAACCCAAGGTTTCAAGGATTTCCTACTATCTTTTCTTAAAAAATTAAATAGCTTTAGCTGTTACTTGTAGGTCTGTTATCCATTACAAGTTAATTTTTGTGTAGTATAATTTGAAGCAAGGATCAAGGCTCATTTTTTCTTGTGGGGATACCCAGTTGTTAGCAACATTTGTTGAAAAGACTCACCATTGAATGACTTTGGTGCCATGCTGAAAATCAGTTGCCCTCATTTATGTAAGTCTATTTCTGGACTTTCTCTTCTGTTCTATTAATCTATGTGTCCATTTCACCAATATGCAGTCTTGATTACTGTAGCTTAAAAGTAAGTCTTGAAATCAGACAGCATAAATTCTACAACTTAGTTCTTCTTTTTCACATTTGTTTGGCCAATCTGGTTCTTTTGCATTTCCATATAAGCCTTGAAATCAGCTTGTCGTACCTATATAGAGGTCTGTTGGAATTTTGAATGGCATTGCATTAAATCTGTAGATTAATTCTGTGAGAATTGACATCTTAACCATATTGACTATTTCAGTCCACGAACATGAGATATCTGTGTATTTTGGTCTTCTTTAATTTCTGTCTGCAATATTTTATAATCTTTAGTGAATAGGTCTTACATATATATTATATGAATTATTATATTATTATATTTATCCCTAAGTATTTTATGGTTTTTGATATTATTGTAAATAGTATTATTGGTAAAAGGCATTGGGTTTAAGTTTTGTTTCCTTTAAGTTTTCTCCTAGGATTTTGAATAAGCCAATATGAAATTCTGAGTAGTCTGATTGATTTGAAAGGCTCATGACTAGAATTTTCATTGCATAAGTAAATGTTCTTTCTCATATCTCAAATGTCCATATTTTTTATGGAATTACCTGAAGACCACATTAGCAGGTTGAAGATTTCCAGTAGGTGGCTGAGATATATTGAAATCTTAAGTGAAGACTAAGAAATTCTAAAAACAGATGTTTTCTACTTTCATTTGGTTTTATCATATAGAGCTCTTGGTATTCAGGTCACCTCAAGATACAGAGATGTCTCATGGAAGTCAGTGGTATCATCTGGTAAGGCTGAGGAGGACAGGCAAGTCACAGGACCGCGTTTTCATTTCTCATCCCCATACTGTCTATTTCTCTCACACCCACATTCCCAAAATTATAAGTGCAGCCAATTGGAGAGAGCTTGAATGACTCTCCTGGCTTCAGTTCCAAATTACAGGGAGATGGACTACAGGTTAGGTGTTCCTGCTGGAGGAACAGGGTTATGTGGTATTAAACAGCAGCTGCAAGCCCACCAGAATGAATAGAAACTCTAAAGTCATCCACTGCTATTGACAATAGTATTCGGTGTTTTATTTTGCGACTGGAAACGAACAAGAGTTTGAAATGTTGACATAAACTTAAATTTTATCTGTTTTAGGGTTTTTTAAATTAACATATAATTGACACAAAACAGTGTGTTAGTTCCAAGTATACAACATAACATTCAGTATTTATAAATGGCATGAAATGATCGCAAAAACATCCATCACCATACATAGTTACCGAATTTCTCGGATTTAAATTTTAATCAACTTGTTTTAGTATCTTGATGTTCTTTTTTTTTCCCCCTCATTTCTTATTATCTAGATGGCTTTGGAGGATTCAGAACAGAAGCACAATCTTCTACATTCAGTTTTCACAGATCTAAAAGAACTGTCAATAATTTTTGAAACAGATGACTTAGCACAGTCTGTACACAAGTTAAGTCATCAAGTAGCAGCTTTACAACAAAAAATCATGGAACACCTTCCACAGATTCAGCACATGGCTGATGTAAGTTCACACCATAAAGATGTGATTTCTCTTTGATTACAACTTATATTTGGATTTAGGATGAATTGTGTTTTAATCAATATTTTTATAATAAATCAAAGTATCTAGTAAATTGTCCACAAGGTACAATTAATCCATGAAAATTATAGCTTTTTTTAGTCAAATTATTTAAACTGAGGGGTTTTTAAAGTATTTTTGTTTGAAAATTTATATTTCTTACTGTTAGTGGTCAACTACTTTGAACATATTTGTTAATCAGTCCTTTCAAGATGTTTCAAATGCCTTTAATAAATATTTCAAAATATGAAAAAGAACTTAACTGATAGGAAGATTTTGAAGATGATTTTCTTGAAGTACAGAGACTACTGTACCAAGATAAGACTTTGGAAAAAGGTTAAAGTATATGAACATTTTTCCAATTTGGAAAAAGTTGAGGAAAATACATAGTATGATGTTATTTTTATAGTTAAATGATAAAATTTTCACTCTTGTTATAAATTGCTCTGGTAAATTTACTGTTCTAGTATATTGACTAATAGGCTCCCAAATATTACTAAGTCTGTTTATTGAAAGCCATCTTGGAACTAAAGTATTTAATGACTTCAGGAGTACATAGATAAATGCAGAAAACAAGAGAAATTTGAGAAATCACAAGTTATATCCAGATGGCATTAAATGTTGTAGCTCTAGTAATAATAAATTCAGAGAGGGAAAGTAAAAAAAGATAAGAGGCATCATGAAGTCTTTGTTTAAATGAATTAACAGTAAGTTGGGGGATTAACTTTATTAAAATGTGGTAATATAGTGTCGTAACATTGCCCTCTTTATTGCTGTTACTGATCCTGTGGGGTTTTAGAAATTTGGCAGATTAAAAGCCAATGAATATTCCAGAGGTTTTTGGGGTCTCCAGATCACATCAAGTATGTGTTGCTGGGCCAGTGGCAATTTTAGAATCAGTTTCAAAATTTCTGATACAATTGGCTTAGGTGTAGTGTGAAAAAGGAGAAAACACGTATTTTGCTAGTAAGTAAATGGTACCTATGAGTGTGGCAGAAAGTATACAGTGCTTATCATCATATTTTACTTTAACCTTTCTGGTATTTACTGTACTCCATACATGGTGTTTTTAAAAATACCCTCCCCCCCAACCAAAAGAAAAAAGAAAGAAAAAAAAGATGGTAGAAAAAATAAAACAAAAATAATGAGGAAAAGGGGGAGAAAGGGAAGGAAGGAGGAAGGGCAGAGAGAAGGTACAATTAATTAGATTTATTTTTTGTGTATAACTCTGCCAGTTATTACTGGTGTGATGTTAGTGAAACATTAAATATCACTGGGTCTCAAAAAAAATAAAATGATGTCATTTCTTTTAATTTGTATTTCATTCAGTGAATTACACTGCTAATCAAACTCATAAGTATATGAAGACACACTGATCTATTTTTCATTTATGTTATTTCTTAAGTTATATTCTACTTTACTTTTTAAAATACAACAAAAAATCATATCCCCATTCTCAGTCCAGAAGTGGTTGGTCTATTTAAAAGGAAGAATCCTGATCAAGTAAGTTCATTGTTTTCCTTTGTCAGAGAGGAGATACCATTGATGAAAAGGTACAGATTAGCAAAGAGGAAATTAAAACAGATATATCTCCTAGGTTGTTCACCAATAATAGATATTTATTGAGGGCTGCTGTGTGCCAGCCACTGGAGTTTTAAGTAATTTTATTTTAGCATGAAGCATATGAGGCATTTAAGGGTAGAGTCACATAGCAGAGTTAGTCCTCATTACTTACCTTTCGTTTCTCTGTTATTTACCTTTTGTAACACTTCGTTACCACACTTATGTAACTTCAAGGAATAATAATTGCTAAATATTCTTGGTTATTGAAACTTATTCCAAAGTTTTTCAATTCTTCTACCATTTTTTATGGAAATTACCCTAAAAAATATTAGATGCTTGTATATACCTTTCTAAATAGAAGGTACTGAAAATAACCTGATATAATTTAACTTACAATTTGAAGATATCACTAGAAAATTGCAGTATTTACTGCTTCATTTGCTTATAAAGTTATGTTTGTACTGTATTTAATGGCTCTAAACTGTTATAATTTGAAATCCTCAGTATATTTCTGTGTAGTTTTTTCTGTTCCCTTCATTATTACTGTACCTTTTTATAGCTACAATGTATCTGCATCCAGCTCTTAAAGTCGTAAGTCCGAAGAACATCTGACAGTGAGAGAACCTCAGTATGTAGCTTTTAGAACACATATTGTCCCGTTTTCACTCAATGTTCTTGTCCAGGTTCTAGAGATTGATATTGATGACAGAATAACCACCAGACAAATGATCTATTGTCTAAGTTAATCTGAGTCAGTTATAAAGTAATTGAGTAACTGCATGGCAACAGCTCATTTGGAGACTAGCAAGAAAAGCCTGCCAATTTTCCAGCTCTTTCTGTGTTTTTTTCCCTGAGAGTAACTATCACTTTACTTAAAGTGGTGGGAATTTTAAAAATGCTAGAGCCACTTGTATTCAAGTGTTCAAACACATTCCAAAGGTATATCTAAAGGGTTTGTGTGCATATAATTGAGAACTTACTTGCAAATTGAATCAGGCGCATACTGCTTTTGTTCTCATAGTAGAAGTAATTGAAAATTGGCCATATAAGGTAGAGTCACATAACAAGTCATGTAAAAGTTATATTTTTTAACAAGGTATGAACAATGCTGTATAGTATGGCATGCTATTAAGAGAATAACATTTTCATTGAAAACAACATTGTCTGTGTAGCAGCACTTGGTTAGTTTTTAAGAAGAATATGTAGCAAATATATTTTGGTTAAATATGCAAATAGATGAATGGCAATAAATTGTGTTTACTAGATTATTAATGTACAATATAAACTGTGTTGTCTTTTTTGTTTCCAAAATTTTAGGATGTGGTTGCTATTGAAACCGAAGTAAAATCAATGGAGAAAAAAGTTTTAAAAATCAAAACTATCCTGTTATCAAAAGAAATATTTGATTTTTCACCTGAAGAACATCTCAGGCATGGGGAGGTAAGCATGGATCATTATTAAAGTATTTTCTCATACTATTGCATTTATTTTGAAATACGTAATAATATGATGTGACTAAAAAGTTGTGCTAGACATTTTATTAAAAATAAAAATAATAATAATAATAAAGGGAGAAATGTGGGATCCACATATAAGTATAAAAATCAAACGAATATTCATATTTGACCTGATTGTTTATAGTTCATAATGCGTGATCAAAACTGAAAGTTTCTGTGATGACTGCCCTTGTACTGTTCACCATGTAAGAACTTATTCACTATGTAAGAATTTGTTCACCATGTAAGAACTTGTTCGTTATGCTTCAGAAGATTGGAGACTGACGAGAATTAGGCTTGGGGTGCATTAATGATTGTGCATTGAGCATTGACTCTCCTATACAGAATTTTATTGTTGTTAACAACCATTTGATCAATAAATATGAGAGATGCCCTCTCGAAAAAAAAAAAAAGTCTTGCTAGAGTAATAGAATAAAGTTGGGAAATAGATATGAATGATTATAAATACTGTATTTTAAATCATACTGTGTTAGCTATATAAGGATAATTTTCCTGTAGGTTATTTTTTCACTTAATTTCTTCTGAAAATATCAAAGTTTGGAAGTTTTGCCTTCAAGTCAAATCCAAGTGTTTTAGTAGTCCAAGAGCTTGAGCCTCTAAGTCAGGAGAACAGGGTTCCAGCCCTAGCGATGCCACTTAATGTGTGATTTTAATCAATTGGTTAAGATTCTTTGATTGGCTCTCATATCCCTGCATTGTATTGCGGTAGTGATGTGGGATGATTATAATGTATATAGAGCCTTTAGCACAGGAACTGGGACATACCAAATAGCACCCAGGTGTTGACTCCCCTTCAGCCTATGGGTGAGGAGCGTGTGCTTTGGGATCAGGTAGACCCGGGTTCTAATCCCAGCTCTACTCTTCCACCCTAACCTCACCTGGGTCCTCTAACTTCTGTGAACACAATTTCCTTACTTATGAGTTCAGATACCTACCACCCAGGGTAGTTGTGAGGATTAGGTGAAACAGTCACCCCTGAAGTACTTAGTATAAGTGAACAGTATCTTCTCATTTGTTGATCATGTAAGTTCAGATTTCTGTGGATCAGGTATCATTAACGCAAAATATAATTACACTTTCGGGACTTAAGAAATTTGGTAGGTCAGTTCTGTTTAGTCCAATAAGCATTTTTTGAGGGCCCCCTAGGTGGAGAGCCTCATGCCTGGTGCGCTTACTACGGAAGTGAATCAGGTGCAGTACCTGCCCTTACATAGCTCTCTGCCTGGTGACCATACACAAAGCAGAATAGTTCCCTGGAGAGTGGAGGGAGAGAGCAAAGGAAGGGAAGCGCCCCCCAAGCATGGGACTGAGTGCTGGGGGTTGCTTTTGCCCCAGGCAGTCTCTCCTGAGACCTTCAACAACCGGATCCCAAGTGATAGAATAGTTCTTTGTAATCTGACCTGAGGAAATGTTTTAAAAATCAAAACTATAGATTAAAAACTCAATTATACAGTGTTTTAACTTTGTGTAGGTTTAGCAATGACAATTTTTTCATATTTATGTACCATGCTTATCTGATATAATTAAGGTCATACTTGAAAATATACGTCCCATGAAGAAAACTATTGCTGAAATAGTGTCTTACCAAGTGGAACTGAGGTTACCCCAGACAGGAATGAAACCTCTTCCAGTGTTGCAGCGGATAAATCAGCTTTCACAAGATATAAAAGTATTGGAAAATGTGACTCAGGAACAAAATGAATTATTAAAGGTGAGCAGTTTATGATGACAGCCAACCTCTAACTTCCTGGATCAGAGTGTTCAGCAAAAGCTGGTTTTGTGTTCAGTTTTTACCAGTTGGGTAGGTCAAACTCCCATGACGGTAAGATGCTGCCTGTGTTGATTCCTTTTGGTCTCTTGAGTATTATTATCCAGGAGGTGGCTTTTGATGTAAGAGAGTATCTTGTTTAACTGGGGCTAAAGTGATTTTTCTCAGTTGTTATTCCTTGTTCTGGGTGAAGACATGAAAGCACAGTTATGGGCTCCTAAATTCCATTCTGCAATTTTTGTAGACCTACATGAATAAAATGCTGTGAAGAGAGATTGAAATCTCAGCAGTGCATATGCAGTTCCATGACGCCGACAGACCCATGCCATATGAACACCACAGTCATCTCTATAGCATCCAGTTACTTGGCTGCTAATCATCTTATTCTTTTTTTAATAATTTAATTATTATTATTATTTTTTAATTAAGATATCATTGATATGCAATATTATGCTCAGGTTTCACACAAGCAACATTGTGGTTACTACATTCCCCACTATTATCAAATCCCCCCCCACACCCCATTACAGTCACTGTCCATCAGCATACTAAGATGCTATAAAGTCACCATTTGTCTTCTCTGTGCTACACTGCCTTCCCCATGCCCTCTCCCCATATTATATGTTCTAATCATAATACATTTAATCCCCTTATCCTTCCCTTCCCACCCACACTCCTCAACCCCTTTCTCTTTGGTAACTGCTAGTCCATTCTTGGAGTCTGTGTTTTTGCTGTTGTTTTGTTCCTTCAGTTTTTTCTTTGTTCTTATACTCCACAGATGAGATCATTTGGTACTTGTCTTTCTCCGCCTGGCTTATTTCACTGAGCATAATACCCTCTAGCTCCATCCATGTTGTTGCAAATGGTAGGAGTTGTTTTCTTCTTATGGTTGAATAATATTCCACTGTGTATATATACCACATCTTCTTTATCCATTCATCTACTGATGGACACTTAGGTTGCTTCTATGTCTTGGCTATTGTAAATAGTGCTGCAATAAACATAGGGGTGCATCTGTCTTTTTGAATCAGTGATCTTGTTTTCTTTGGGTAAATTCCTAGGAGTGGAATTCCTGGGTCAAATCGTATTTCTATTTTTAGTTTTCTGAGGAACCTCCATATTGCTTCCACAATGGTTTAACTAGTTTACATTCCCACCAACAGTGTAGGAGGGTTCCCCTTTCTTCACATCCTTGCCAGCATGTGTTGTTGCTTGTCTTTTGGATGTTGGCCATCCTAACTGGTGTGAAGTGAAGTGATATCTCCTTGTGGTTTTAATTTGCATTACCCTGATGACTAGTGATATGGAACATCTTTTCATATGCCTATTGGCCATCTGAATTTTTCTTTGGAGAAGTGTCAATTCAGATCCTCTACCCATTTTTTAATCAGGTTATTTGCTTTTTGGGTTTTGAGGCATGTGAGCTTTTTATATATTTTAGATGTTAACCCCTTATCAGATATGTCATTTATGAATGTATTCTCCCATACTATGGGATGCCTTTTTGTTCTGCTGATGGTGTCCTTTGCTATACAGAAGCTTTTTAGTTTGCTATAATCCCACTTATTCATTTTTGCTTTTGTTTGCCTTGCCCAAGGAGGTATGTTCATGAAAATTTGCTCATGTTTATATTCAAGAGAGTTTTGCCTATATTTTCTTCTAAGAGTTTTATGGTTTCATGACTTACATTCAGGTCTTTGATCTATTTTGAGTTTCCTTTTGTGAATGGTTAGACAATAATCCAGTTTCATTCTCTTGCATGTAGCTGTCCAGTTTTGCCAACACCAGCTGTTGAAGAGGCTGTCTGTTCTCCATTGTATGTCCACAGCTTCTTTATCATATATATTAATTGGCCATATATGTGTGGGTTTATATCTGGACTCTCTATTCTATTCCATTGATCGGTGGCTTTGTTCTTGTGCCAGTCCCAAATTGTCTTGATTACTGTTAAGCATCTTATTCTTGATCAAACATATGACACAGGTAGAAGAAGCACTTTATCTTTTTATCTATGAAGAGACCAGGGTCACAAGACTTAGATGACTTGCTGGAAGACCACTGAGTTAATGCCTCCAGATTCCTTTATTTACAAATAGGTTAAGAATTTGTATGATCCTTCATATCCAGGTCTTTTCCTTCTAACTGATGACATCTTTCAGCCTCTCTCCAGGGTGTTTTTTTTTCTCCATGTTTTGTTTGATCTCATTTCAAGTCAGGAATTATTGGATTGAAATTATATTTTACTTTGGTTTGTATTCCTAGATCAACAACCACTCTCACAAGAAAGTAAGTTGCTGAAAGAATCTTAAATTCCACAGACTTTTGTCTTTCTTGGTAGACCCCACTCCTGCCTGCTATTCCTGATTAGATGGAACAGGGTAGGAGACAAGGTTATTTTCACTCTTTCCAGACCACCACCTGGTTTTAGGAAGAAAACTGCTGTCTTTTTCTCTTGAAATTTCATTCACGTTTAGGTGACCTCTGTGCTGTCCTCAGGTTTAAGGATGTAGTAATCTCTGCTTTGAGTCTTGGCTCATACAGTCTTTCTGCCTTGGCTGTGGGTCAGTTGATGTCATTTCCTGTCTTTTCCCCCATGCAGAGAAAAAAAAATCTGGCATTCTACTGTTTTTCAGTAATATAAAATGAAGGAAAAAGAAAGAGTTGATCTATTATTTTTAATCTTCCTGTTCTTATTGGTCTCCTGGTCATGAAAAGAAAATAACAGTTGTAACTAAGTTTTAAAGTAAGTTCTTCACAAGATGAAAGGGAGGAAATAGAAAAGGAAATTATATTTTGTGCTAAGTTTGATGTCGAACTGTTCTGCTAAAATTTTCCATCTTACTATGTTGGAAATCAGATGTCGTCTCATACATTTCAAAGCAAGTAAGCAGTGGTAATGAAAATCATTAGAATGTGGTATTTTTCTTTTAACTCCTACTTCAGATATTCTTAAGTGCCCTGGCTGTGGGAAACAAGACAAATTACTTTCGGGAGAAGTAATTGTATGCAGCTCATTATTGAGGGCTGGGGAACAGGTGTGTGCAGTGAACTGTTAGTTGTTTCCTGCCTACAGTTAAAATTGTGGTTAAATATTAAAGTACAAGGAAGAATTCTGTGTTGGCCAGAAACTTTGTAGTTTAAAAGAAAGGCTTTTTGCTTTGTTGTAAAGCATACCAAGGCAGTATCTAGATCTTTTGGAGTCAGTTTCTTAATCTTTCATTGTATCATTTAGTACCCAAATAGGTTTGAGCTCTCCTACTCCCCTCACACTAGATTCCTAGGTATTGTTCTGGGAATTTTGCCTTTTTCTGCAAACTCAAACCACTCTCAAACCCTTACTGTCTTACTCAAAATGTACATCACTGATTCTAAAGGACACAGGTGATGAGTGGTTGGAGCGGGAAAATCCATCATCTGTCATATGACATGCCCTTCCCACTCTGAATCAGTAATGTCTCCTTTCTATGTATAAAGCATCACATATAGCCTATTTTAAAATGGCATATGTGACATATCAATAATTTCATAAAACATAGCAACTTTATGTCAACATGCCATACAATGCTTCTCAGAGTAAGCCCACTAGACTGGAAATACATAAGATCAAAGGTGTGTTTAATTAGACTTATACTTCAAGCACTGCCCAAGGTGCCCTGGCATCTGGTAAAGCAAGGTCAGGTGCCATTGCAAACATTGTTCTCTAAATTTAGGCTATGATTAGCATTGCAGTCACTGGATGCATAGCTGCTGTAATTGATCAGAATAAGCATAGGGGTAGACCTCAAAGCACCCTATTAATCTAGTCCTTAGAATATGATAAAGATTCTTCTTTTGGGGGGTTTATTTTATAGATTGTCATAAAACAGACTAATGAATGTGATGAGGACATTGAAAATTTGAAGCACATCTTAAATAATAATTCAGCTGAGTTCTCCAGTGAACATACACCACCACATCAAGCTGCCAGCCTGCCACAAGTCCAGGTATGTTCTTCATTCGTTCACCCATAGTTCATTCAACAGTCCCATACTAAGCTGTTGGTGTCTAGAACCCTTTGTGATGGTGTGTATATTTTCTACTTCTTTCTTCCAGTGGAAGGTATATTTAATGTGTGCATTGACTTTCCATTCCTGTTTCATAAAATAGGTGATTATATAACTATCCTAATGGAAGGCCCTTCAAATGTCCTTAGCTTTAGCTTTTAGCTCATTTTGGTCTGAAGTTGCTCTAGTACCAAAGAAGTTGATGTAACACACAATGTTTGGACAACCTGATTTTCTGGCTAGCTTTCTGGTGGAGGGAATAGGCAGTGTGAGTTGGTTGGGCTTTAGAGGTAAAGACCCTGAGCGCTGTTAAAATGAAGAGTTCCTTATTGGAAGCAGTATTTCCATATGCTATAATTAACAATGTCCTGTGGACCTAGTTGCAGTGGTTTGCATGTTAACCCTCTAATGCTACGGGCTTTTTTTTTAGTCCTTGTTTTTTGCTTTAGTACTTTATAACAAAAAGCCTGATTATATGCCAAGGATTGTAGGGAGCTACTTCTTTCCTGCCATCAAGTTGATATAGGCAGGCAATTGGCTATAGTATTCAAAGCCAAGTCACACCACTTGATTAAATGTGAGACCTAGCCAAACTAGGTTAAGTGAAGTACAGAGGGACCCAAGGTGGCGCAGCCATTAAGTGATAGACTCAGTAAGGCAGACTCAATACTAAAGTCTCAGCATTGTAAAAAACACCAGATCTCCCTTTACACTAGAAAAGTTAAGGACCTCAAAGAGATTTTTTTATATGAGCTGTATCTACCATTATAGAAAGGAGTTTAACTCAAAGGCATAAAAATATTTTACTTTATTTAAAATAGCAATAACAAACCCATTATGTGTTGAAACAAATAATAGGATTTTGTGAAAAAAATTACATTTTCCAAAAGAAAATATAGTGAGAAGAGTGACACTGTTTCACATTTTTGCAAATCTCTTTACTGTCTGGTTAACTAGAACATAGTTTGATTCTCACCGGCTTCTTCATTCCATCCAGCGAGGTATGTGGTTTTAAGTATATAAAAACAATCCAGTGCCTCAAAGACATGTACATAGAAATAATTGTGGACACTCTCTGAACTCTTTAACAAGTAGAAGTTACTCACACGTTAGTCGTTAAAAGTAATCTAAAGCCATGTCAATGAACTTGTGATACTTGTACATTAAAATCCACTGGTCAGTCTTGTACTTTGAATGGATCTTCTAGCCATGCATGAATTTATAACATTGTGCTTGGTCATTTGGAAAATACCATTTCACTAGTTATATAGATCTTCCAAATACTGACACAGTTCAGTAGCTGATATTAAAAGACTCACATTCATTAATGTGAACATCTGTGTCTTCAGGAAAATCGTTAAGTGTGTAGATGTTCTATATAGTACATATCCAATATACATATATGCAGTATATAGATACATAGTTCATGTGTGTAACTATATATACATAAATTATATATAGTTTAGCAGTTTTTTTCCCAAGTGAAAAGAAATTCAGCTTGCTGCTTAAATAATCACACAAATGCTTTTCCTCAACCATCATACTTTGGTGGCCGTAGAAGTGCTTTATGCATGCATCCCGCTTTGTCACACAGAATAGGAAAAGTCATGTTCTTCTCAAGGATAATCTTCAATGAAGCTGACTTTTTTTATGGTTAAGTACATGATAGTGAAGACACTAGTAACTACTAAAATAGTTGTTGTCCTTGCCTTGATTCATAGAAAGTTCTGGTGGTTTTGCTTACAATGCTTTTTTGTCATCATCACATGGTGAAAAATGTCAACACAGTTAAAAAGTATCACTGTGAAAATGACCTTGACCTGCTGGGTGTGGACCCTCAGAGGTCCGCAGATAATGGTGCTGCGAATGGCCACTGTGTGCCTGGCTGTGCCACCATAATGCTGGTAGCTCTGCAGACCTTTCGTTTGCTTTTAAGTGTTACTCTAATGTCTGCACTACGTCTGTTGGGAGGCACTCTACCTCTGGAATTCAGTGCTTACTGAAAATGGTACACAGCACAGCCAACTCAGATTTAATTCAGTTACCAGTTCCCAAAGCAATCACAAGGAGTTGGAGTTCAGACAGTAAGGGGTATTGGTGTCGGAATGCGTGCAATAGCAAAAGAGCCACGGGGCTGGGTGTCCGGAAGTCTGGGTCTGTGTTCTGTCTCTAGCTAGCTGCCACCCTACAGAAATGACCTGCTTTCTCCTGGACTTGTAAAGACATGTTAAATTTCTCTGTGTTAACAAAGATCTTATAATTCTGTATCTATAGAGTGGATGGATTGGTTGGGTAGAAGGGAGGGAGGGAGAGAACGGAAATTAGAACAGAGAAAGAAAAGGGGTATAAGGAGTTTATTAGGAACAAAATTCCAGCACATGAAGGTGGCTTAAATGAGCAGGTTATTTTCGATGTAGCTCTCAGTGCAAAGCTCAAGCAGAGGTCCAGTGATGCCGTACAGGGGGCTGAAGAAGAGGATATTAGACTAGGTGATACCTGCTATTTCTTACAAATCTAGGAATCTGTCATTCTATAATCTTAGGCAATGGGCACCTGCATTTCCACCATATACAAGAAATTTTATTCCCACACACCAATCATACAGACTTTTAAAGTTACATTATTAAGCTTGGAATTATCTGTTCTTTATTCCCAAAGTAAGTTACACATCATGGTACCTTTGTTTATTTATTCCAATTTGATAGGAAGCTTTGACTATGAGAAAAAGTAAATTCAGTAATAACGCAGAGGCTTCAAAGAACAAAATGAGATTTCTCACATTATTTTATCTTAATGGCTTCTGAATATTAGTCTGCCTACAGATCTCCTTTGGAGCTTATTAAAGTGCAGGTTCCCAGGTCCTGACCCTATGGATTCTGGTTGGTCAGTCCTGTGGCCAATGGAGTGGTGGCTCCCAATCCTGGCTGCACACCAGTCACCTGTGGAGCTTCTTAGAAATTTATGAGCTTCAGCTTGACCCCCAGAGGTTGATTGGCTAGGTGTCAGGTGAGGCTAAGGCATCCTGTAAGGTTGCTTAGAAACCCTCCCCAGGTCATTTGAAAACGCAGCCAGGATGGAGAGAACTAACCTGTGCCAAGACTAGCTGCTGCTCTGCAGACTGAACAGCAGAGAACAGTCCTGTCTCCCATGCCAGCCTTGAGTGCTGCAGGCTCTTAGGGGCATGCCAGGGCCTCAGATGCACCAAAGCAATGCAAACACTCTTTCTGCACAGGGGGAGAGAGAAGATCTGGAAAAGCAGATTCAGGGTTTGAACCAGAAAAAAGAAGACCTGTTGGTGGACTTGAAAGCTGCCATACTGAGCCTTCACCAGCATTTACAGCAAGAACAGCAAGAGTTAGAAAAAGAAATGCTGACGGCTGGAGCAGTAGCAGAAGATGGAGTGGCTGAGAGAGATGTTTCTGAGTGGAAGGTGGGTATGACTTTGGGTTAATATTGGTCCCACATTCTGCAAGGGTGTTAAATTGGTGCTATTTTTCACCTGAAAAGCCTGTGGCATCTGCCTATGGCCTATAGTAAAGGAATTTTAAAAAGTGGAAATACTCCACCTGAGACTTCCCACAAGTGAATATAAACCTGTGGGGTGTGTCTGTTCTGGACTTAACCCAGAATTCTTACGCCTGAATTACTTAAGGCAGTGCTTATGAAATTCCAGGGGCAGGTGGGTGGGAGCCTCCCTTTGAATAGTCAGCACATTGCAAACTCAAAAATGCACCCAGCACCTATTTGAGCCCACTCTTCAGTCCACATTCATCAGGGAAGCACATTCTTGATCTGATGAGGGGCCACAGAGGGCAATGCAAATGGAAGGCTTTAAGGTTTGACCCAGTCGTGATAATTTGGCTGGCTGAGCTGAAGGTTGCTTATGTAAAGTGAGTGAAAAAAAGTGAGTAAAAAAATAGCTCCGTGAAAATGCAGTGAGGCCAAGATCCTGGTGATAGTGAATGGCAGCCTGGCTGCAAGTGTCTTTATGTTGTGCCTTTCAGTTGAACAGAACCGGTTCCATGTCTCTCCTGCCAGCAGTGAAGGAAGAGGCTGAAGACAGCTCGCTGAGAAGTGAAGTAAGGAAACTGATTTTCTCCTTCAAGTTTATTAGAACCAAAATTTCTAAAAGAAGGTCACTGAGAAGATCTTAAAATGAATGGGAACAAGGATGTTTAAACTTAGTGCTGACATAAGGGTGATTAAAGCAGTTCTCTTAGATTATTAGTGTTGCTTAAGTGCAGCTAAACCTACTTCACACCAGATGGGGTAAAGTAATTTACTCACACTTGTTGGCATAAGGGAGAAGATGAAGTTCTTTCTTGTATCCTGCCTTCTGAGTACTTTCTTGAAGTTTTGAGAATATGCTATTTGTCACTCCTGGTGTGCTTTCAGAACTTGGTTTTCTCATATTTGAATTGCTTCTTCAACATCATTGTCAAGGACAATGGTAAAAATGAAAGTATAATAGGTCTTGTTCCAACAGGAAGAAAATTGTAGCAATTTAGAGGTTTTATGTCTACGTGTAACTACCAGACTCTTGCTGCTGTTGGTAAACAGCTCCATTGTCACACAGAACATCCCGTTACAGTGTTTCACTAGAACATGGTGGAACTGAGTAATAGGACAAGGAAAAGAGTACAGGTTTACTATATACTCCGACCATCAGACAACTTCATAACCTGATTAGGACCTTTCACAACAGAATTGTAAGAATGGATGAGGTACCAGGGCCAAAAAAAAGTGTGTGTCTGTATGATTCTAACTTGAAATCTGTATTTGCCTCTGGCCTGATATGTTTATAATTAATATTCATTGGCTGTCTCTGACAACAAGAACAAAATATTCATCAAGCTGCTGTTTTAAAGATAACTTACATTTACCAAAGCAGATTAAGTTCCTAAAGCACTGTTTTAAAGATCTCCTTTGTGTCGCATGAGCCAACTCCCCACTTTTTTTTTTCCTATGGGTCACCACATTTTATTTTGAAAAGGTGAATTTTTTTTTATTAAGGTATCATTGATACACTGTCTTTTTTTTTATTAGGGTTTCACATGAGCAACATTATGGTTACTACATTCACCCAGATTATCAAATTCCCCCCCACACACCCCATTGCAGTCATTGTCCATCAGCATAGTAAGGTGCTGTAGAGTCACTACTTGTCTTCCCTGTGCTGCCTTCCCCGTGAGTCCCCTACATTATGTGTGCTAATCATAATGCCCCTTAATCCCCTTCTCCCTCCCTTCCTACCCACCCAACCCAACCCCTTTCTCTTTGGTAACTGCTAGTCCCTTCTTGGAGTCTGTGATTCTGCTGCTGTTTTGTTTCTTCAGTAAAAATACCATTTCACTAGTTATATAGATCTTCCAAATACTGACACAGTTCAGTAGCTGATATTAAAAGACTCACATTCATTAATGTGAACATCTGTGTCTTCAGGAAAATCGTTAAGTGTGTAGATGTTCTATATAGTACATATCCAATATACATATATGCAGTATATAGATACATAGTTCATGTGTGTAACTATATATACATAAATTATATATAGTTTAGCAGTTTTTTTCCCAAGTGAAAAGAAATTCAGCTTGCTGCTTAAATAATCACACAAATGCTTTTCCTCAACCATCATACTTTGGTGGCCGTAGAAGTGCTTTATGCATGCATCCCGCTTTGTCACACAGAATAGGAAAAGTCATGTTCTTCTCAAGGATAATCTTCAATGAAGCTGACTTTTTTTATGGTTAAGTACATGATAGTGAAGACACTAGTAACTACTAAAATAGTTGTTGTCCTTGCCTTGATTCATAGAAAGTTCTGGTGGTTTTGCCTACAATGCTTTTTTGTCATCATCACATGGTGAAAAATGTCAACACAGTTAAAAAGTATCACTGTGAAAATGACCTTGACCTGCTGGGTGTGGACCCTCAGAGGTCCGCAGATAATGGTGCTGCGAATGGCCACTGTGTGCCTGGCTGTGCCACCATAATGCTGGTAGCTCTGCAGACCTTTCGTTTGCTTTTAAGTGTTACTCTAATGTCTGCACTACGTCTGTTGGGAGGCACTCTACCTCTGGAATTCAGTGCTTACTGAAAATGGTACACAGCACAGCCAACTCAGATTTAATTCAGTTACCAGTTCCCAAAGCAATCACAAGGAGTTGGAGTTCAGACAGTAAGGGGTATTGGTGTCGGAATGCGTGCAATAGCAAAAGAGCCACGGGGCTGGGTGTCCGGAAGTCTGGGTCTGTGTTCTGTCTCTAGCTAGCTGCCACCCTACAGAAATGACCTGCTTTCTCCTGGACTTGTAAAGACATGTTAAATTTCTCTGTGTTAACAAAGATCTTATAATTCTGTATCTATAGAGTGGATGGATTGGTTGGGTAGAAGGGAGGGAGGGAGAGAACGGAAATTAGAACAGAGAAAGAAAAGGGGTATAAGGAGTTTATTAGGAACAAAATTCCAGCACATGAAGGTGGCTTAAATGAGCAGGTTATTTTCGATGTAGCTCTCAGTGCAAAGCTCAAGCAGAGGTCCAGTGATGCCGTACAGGGGGCTGAAGAAGAGGATATTAGACTAGGTGATACCTGCTATTTCTTACAAATCTAGGAATCTGTCATTCTATAATCTTAGGCAATGGGCACCTGCATTTCCACCATATACAAGAAATTTTATTCCCACACACCAATCATACAGACTTTTAAAGTTACATTATTAAGCTTGGAATTATCTGTTCTTTATTCCCAAAGTAAGTTACACATCATGGTACCTTTGTTTATTTATTCCAATTTGATAGGAAGCTTTGACTATGAGAAAAAGTAAATTCAGTAATAACGCAGAGGCTTCAAAGAACAAAATGAGATTTCTCACATTATTTTATCTTAATGGCTTCTGAATATTAGTCTGCCTACAGATCTCCTTTGGAGCTTATTAAAGTGCAGGTTCCCAGGTCCTGACCCTATGGATTCTGGTTGGTCAGTCCTGTGGCCAATGGAGTGGTGGCTCCCAATCCTGGCTGCACACCAGTCACCTGTGGAGCTTCTTAGAAATTTATGAGCTTCAGCTTGACCCCCAGAGGTTGATTGGCTAGGTGTCAGGTGAGGCTAAGGCATCCTGTAAGGTTGCTTAGAAACCCTCCCCAGGTCATTTGAAAACGCAGCCAGGATGGAGAGAACTAACCTGTGCCAAGACTAGCTGCTGCTCTGCAGACTGAACAGCAGAGAACAGTCCTGTCTCCCATGCCAGCCTTGAGTGCTGCAGGCTCTTAGGGGCATGCCAGGGCCTCAGATGCACCAAAGCAATGCAAACACTCTTTCTGCACAGGGGGAGAGAGAAGATCTGGAAAAGCAGATTCAGGGTTTGAACCAGAAAAAAGAAGACCTGTTGGTGGACTTGAAAGCTGCCATACTGAGCCTTCACCAGCATTTACAGCAAGAACAGCAAGAGTTAGAAAAAGAAATGCTGACGGCTGGAGCAGTAGCAGAAGATGGAGTGGCTGAGAGAGATGTTTCTGAGTGGAAGGTGGGTATGACTTTGGGTTAATATTGGTCCCACATTCTGCAAGGGTGTTAAATTGGTGCTATTTTTCACCTGAAAAGCCTGTGGCATCTGCCTATGGCCTATAGTAAAGGAATTTTAAAAAGTGGAAATACTCCACCTGAGACTTCCCACAAGTGAATATAAACCTGTGGGGTGTGTCTGTTCTGGACTTAACCCAGAATTCTTACGCCTGAATTACTTAAGGCAGTGCTTATGAAATTCCAGGGGCAGGTGGGTGGGAGCCTCCCTTTGAATAGTCAGCACATTGCAAACTCAAAAATGCACCCAGCACCTATTTGAGCCCACTCTTCAGTCCACATTCATCAGGGAAGCACATTCTTGATCTGATGAGGGGCCACAGAGGGCAATGCAAATGGAAGGCTTTAAGGTTTGACCCAGTCGTGATAATTTGGCTGGCTGAGCTGAAGGTTGCTTATGTAAAGTGAGTGAAAAAAAGTGAGTAAAAAAATAGCTCCGTGAAAATGCAGTGAGGCCAAGATCCTGGTGATAGTGAATGGCAGCCTGGCTGCAAGTGTCTTTATGTTGTGCCTTTCAGTTGAACAGAACCGGTTCCATGTCTCTCCTGCCAGCAGTGAAGGAAGAGGCTGAAGACAGCTCGCTGAGAAGTGAAGTAAGGAAACTGATTTTCTCCTTCAAGTTTATTAGAACCAAAATTTCTAAAAGAAGGTCACTGAGAAGATCTTAAAATGAATGGGAACAAGGATGTTTAAACTTAGTGCTGACATAAGGGTGATTAAAGCAGTTCTCTTAGATTATTAGTGTTGCTTAAGTGCAGCTAAACCTACTTCACACCAGATGGGGTAAAGTAATTTACTCACACTTGTTGGCATAAGGGAGAAGATGAAGTTCTTTCTTGTATCCTGCCTTCTGAGTACTTTCTTGAAGTTTTGAGAATATGCTATTTGTCACTCCTGGTGTGCTTTCAGAACTTGGTTTTCTCATATTTGAATTGCTTCTTCAACATCATTGTCAAGGACAATGGTAAAAATGAAAGTATAATAGGTCTTGTTCCAACAGGAAGAAAATTGTAGCAATTTAGAGGTTTTATGTCTACGTGTAACTACCAGACTCTTGCTGCTGTTGGTAAACAGCTCCATTGTCACACAGAACATCCCGTTACAGTGTTTCACTAGAACATGGTGGAACTGAGTAATAGGACAAGGAAAAGAGTACAGGTTTACTATATACTCCGACCATCAGACAACTTCATAACCTGATTAGGACCTTTCACAACAGAATTGTAAGAATGGATGAGGTACCAGGGCCAAAAAAAAGTGTGTGTCTGTATGATTCTAACTTGAAATCTGTATTTGCCTCTGGCCTGATATGTTTATAATTAATATTCATTGGCTGTCTCTGACAACAAGAACAAAATATTCATCAAGCTGCTGTTTTAAAGATAACTTACATTTACCAAAGCAGATTAAGTTCCTAAAGCACTGTTTTAAAGATCTCCTTTGTGTCGCATGAGCCAACTCCCCACTTTTTTTTTTCCTATGGGTCACCACATTTTATTTTGAAAAGGTGAATTTTTTTTTATTAAGGTATCATTGATACACTGTCTTTTTTTTTATTAGGGTTTCACATGAGCAACATTATGGTTACTACATTCACCCAGATTATCAAATTCCCCCCCACACACCCCATTGCAGTCATTGTCCATCAGCATAGTAAGGTGCTGTAGAGTCACTACTTGTCTTCCCTGTGCTGCCTTCCCCGTGAGTCCCCTACATTATGTGTGCTAATCATAATGCCCCTTAATCCCCTTCTCCCTCCCTTCCTACCCACCCCACCCAACCCCTTTCTCTTTGGTAACTGCTAGTCCCTTCTTGGAGTCTGTGATTCTGCTGCTGTTTTGTTTCTTCAGTCTTGCTTTGTTCTTATACTCCACAGATGAGTGAAATCACTTGGTACTTGTCTTTCTCCACCTGACTTATTTCACTGAGCATAATACCCTCTAGCTCCATCCATATTGTTGCAAATGGTAGGATTTGTTTTCTTCTTATGGCTGAATAATATTCCATTGTGTATATGTACCACCTCTACTTTATCCATTCATCTACTGATGGACACTTAGGTTGTTCCATGTCTTGGCTATTGTAAACAGTGCTGTGATAAACATAGGGGTGCATATGTCTTTTTGAATCGGTGATCTTGTTTTCTTTGGGTAAATTTCTAGAGGTGGAATTCCTGGGTCAAATGGTATTTCTATTTTTAGTTTTTTGAGGAACCTCCATATTGCTTCCACAGTGGCTAAACAAATTTACATTCCCACCAGCAGTGTAGGAGGGTTCCCCTTTCTCTGCATCCTCACCTGTTTTTCCTTGTCTTTTGGATGTTGTCCATCCTAACTGGTGTGAGGTGATGATACCTCATTCCGACTCCCCACTTTTAAGAATATTTTTTAGGCTTCAAGTAGATCATGCACATTTGGAGACATAGGATTTAGTTAGCCTGAGAAAGAGATGAAAAATAAGGAGAGGTGGAATTAATGCTACAATTATACTGCCTGGTGAGCTGAATTTTGAATAAAAGAGTTATGGATGCTGGTTATTATGGTAGGAAATCACTTCCCATTGCTAATCAATTGATTACTGTTAGAATGGAGACAAGAAAGCAGAGCCATCTTCTGGGTCTTGGTCTTTATTTTGGAAGAATGAGAAAGACTTGGAGGAAGATAAAGAATCCTCATCCTCTGGGACAATCATTCAGGTAATACTGGGCATATCCCCTTAGATGGGTGGGCGGGAGATGGAGGGTAAGGGATAGTAGGTCAATGAAATTGTTTTGTTTGAAAAAATGCATCAGGAGGGAACCTTCTTGGGTTGGAATCCATTAAAAGTGTCTCACCCACACCTTTGAATAAATGCAAAGAGAGCTAATACTTGCTTATTTGCATTTCTTTTGTGAACTCAGCAATAATGGAGCATTTTTCTGAGGAAAACCCCATATGTGAAAATCCAAACTGACAAAACATAACTAAAAGGAGCATTTAAAACATTTACCATAGTGTTTTAAAGCATTTAACATGCCTCTTTTGGGGAGTAGGTGGGAAGGAGCCCCATAACTCTTTTGAACAAAGTAGTTTATATGATAAATGAAATTAGCCTTTTTTGTTCCTTATGACCTACTAAATCTTCTCCAGTCTCTCCGAAGTAGAGGGCAATTGCCCACACTTTCGCAAATCATTATAAGCTGATGTGAAAATGATGTTTTCCCTTGCTCCTGAAACATCTCTGCATCGTTAAGGACCCATACTCCTCCCTATCCCGGGCCAGTCTAGTCACTAATCTTTGGAGTGGGGCTCTGCCTGTCCTCTCATCTCCATCTGGGGTCTCTGCCTCTGGACGGGTTCCTTTCCTCTCTACGTGGGAAGTATTGTTTTCCCCGCCCTTGTGGCCCCACCCTCCTAACAAACTGACTGTTCCAGAGCCCAGACTGCCCCTTCAGAACCTGCTTTGCATTCCTGGGATGCCCTTCTGTGCATAAATGCCTGTAGACTTCCTACCCATCCACAAAGGCCCATCTCAACTAGCCTCCTCCACAATACCCCTGTCTCTGTCCCTTTGTTTTCTGGTAGCATTCAGAAATCCTCAATTATGACTATGCATCCACCTGACACAACTTCATGAATAGCAAGAACTTGACCTTCTACATTGTTCTGTTCTGTACTGGGCTCACTAAGGTACTTTAAGGTATTGAATTTCTTGATCCCATATGCCAGTTCAATTACTGTGTTTTCTCTCATTATGACTGAATGTCCTTAACTTGGTGCTCCACACCCTTGGCCCCTTCTGTAATCAGGTTTTTGCCCCTGGCTATATTTAAACTGCCATTGACTCCTGGAACATCAGTTCAGTGCCCTTATATTAATCCTAATTCTTACTGACTTCTCCAGCATTAGACACTGTGATGACCTCTTCTTGAAATGTAATGTTCCTTTGACTTTCTTGATTCTGCACTGTCCTGTCTCATCTACCTGTGACCCCTCCTCCACTTCTTGTCTTGCTCCATCTCTGTGAGGGCAGGCATTCCCCCAGTTTTCCATCCTCTTCTCTCTTCTCTGTTCTCTCCCATGGCAATTTCCTCTCCTCCCATGGGTTTGGTCTTCACCTCTATGCCAGTGATTCCCAATTCAAATTGCTAGTCTTTTTCCTTAAATTTGTTGCACATTTCTAGCTTGCTGATAGATTTCCTTTTGGATATATTTTCTTCATCTCAAACCCATTTTACCAACTTATCTTCAAAGCTGTGTTCTCCTGATTTCTGAGGCTCTGTTAATGGCACCACCATTGTGGGGCAGTTGGGGTTCCATCGGCTAGGATTCTCACTGGTCTTAAACCACCTGATGATGTAACTGGCCTGAAACTGGAAGCTAGGCTTCTGCTTCCACACCCTAGGCAATAAGCTATTATTGCGCTATATAGAGAGCTCGGCCCAGTGCTCTGGGTGGAGGCAGAGACGCTAGTGCTCGACCTACCACCAGGAGAGCAAGCCGGGTAATAAACCCTTTCACCCCAAGAACATTTCTACTGTCATTTCTTTGGTCACACTGAATCCATAGCGAACTTGCCCAGTGCTGAAACCCATTGGCAAGACAACCATTTTCCAAGTCTAAGACAAACTTCAGAGTAGATACCATGTTTGTCCTACCTTTCATATGCAATCAGTGGTCAAGTGATGCCCATTATCCTTTATATCCTTCTCCTCATATATTTGCCATCATCCTATTCCAGGCAATTGTTACTTCTTCCCTGGATATTTGAAGTAGCCTTTTAATTGGGTTTCCAGCCTCCAGTTATTTTGCCTAATACATCTTATGATGACAAAACAGGTAACATCAAGCTTCAGTCTTTTCAGGATTCTGCTTATCTATTGAATAAAATGCAAACTTTTGCATTTTAGCCTGGCGTTCCAGACTTTCATGATCCTGACCTACCTTTCCAACTTAGCTAAGCTTTACCTTCAGTTCTTGGTTCATACCTTTCTAACAGCAGTTACTGTTTTCAGTACAAGGAGCTGAAAAGTAACATTTTGTTAGGAATTGCTAGATGCTTTTTATATTTCATCTTGTTTAATAATTACAAAAACATGAGTGAGGTATGTTATATTCCCATTTTAAGGATGAAGTAAGTGAGGCTCAGAAAGTCCGGGTTAATTTGTCCACAGTCATGCAACTTGTAAATAGAGCAATCAGGATTGGTTGATTGCAATACCCATACTTTCCCCACCACACCATGTTAATTATCTGTGTGTATGTCATTTACAATTGTTAAACTTGGTTTAAACTGGTTTGGCTGGATCACAGTATATGTCCATTTAAAATGTGACACAGTTATCAAACTGCCTTATAGAAAGACTGAATTTTATTCTACCAGGATTGCATGAAAGTGCCTCTTTCCTGACTCTAAGCTGATACTAGTTATTCTCAGTCTTAGCCAAACTTAACCAGTGGTTTAAGTTTAAGTTGCAGTTATATTCTAAGAATTTTGCATGTCTTTTTAGGTACTTACTGGCTTTTGTATTCTTTTATGAATTACTTATTCATGCCATTTGACTCTTTTTCTACATAGGGGGTGATGTTTCCCTATTGATTGTAAGAGTAATTAATATATTCAGAAAATCAGCACTTTGTAAGCTGTTATCCCAGTCTGTTATATCTCTTTTAACTTAGTTATGGCGTCTTTGTGGTGCACATTATTCTATTTTTTGTGTTCTTGATACTAACATTCTTTTCCTTTACTGTCATACTTTATTCAAGAATTTTTGTGGAATAACTTTTGCATTTAAGTATTAGATACAATTAGAATTCATTGTTGGGAGTGAAACAAAGATTTAGTTTTTTCTCATGAAGTAGTTCCCAAATTACTCAGGTCATCTTTTCTCCCATTATTTGAAATTTGCTTTTATCAAATAATCTCACTTAATTTTAATTCTCAGAATAATCCACTTAGGTTCCTAATTCTCTGGGTTCCTTATGTATTCCTTATTCACCAGAGAGCTTTGGAGAGTTTAAGTCTTTCAAATAAAGACAACCCTGAGGAAGTTGATCTGTCCCCTCCCCCATGAACACAATTATTTTCTAAGTGTATCTGACATCTCTGGAAATTTTTGCAAGCAGGCTGTTTGTAAAGTGAACAGGCATGGGAAGAATGATTTGTGCGGTGGCAGAGCGGGAACTTCCCTGGGCCTCTGATTCATTCCTTCATAGGAAGCAGCTGGGAGAGTGAGCACAAGTGACAGTTCTAGGGCACAAGTCCTGGCACCAGACTCACTAAACACTGAGCAAGGCCCAGACTTTTCCCTGAGTTCCAACCAAACAGAAGAGATAGGTCCCAGTCAGTAACAAACCACTTTCCAGACATGTGCTCTAGCACTTGGAGATGACAAGCTTTCTGTGTTTTGCAAAACTTTGTATTTCGAGCCAAGGGTTCTTTGTGAATGTTAACATCTTCCTATTTGTTGTCAAGCTGGACAACTGGAAGATGTGCCCTCAGGTTTACACAGAATGTAAATGTGACAAAGATCGATTAAAGATCTTTTACTCGCTCACCATTTGTCATGATGAACTGGTCTTTTATTACCAACTACTTGGGTGATGAAGTGGAGAGTTAATATTGTTTAACTGCCTTTTATATAAGGGGCATTTATATTTGCTTTTTAAACCTGAGATTAAATAAGGTAGGTTAATACCATAAGTTTACAAATGAGGGAATCAAAATTCAGGAAGTAAAAGTACAGCTGATAAATGGAGGAGTAAGGAGTCCAATCCAGAATATTCCAGATTGCCTTCCTAATATGAATATTTAGTATTGAAAGATGTGAAACCAATATAAGTTTGGCCTCATAAGAGGTCGCCACCACACCTTCCCAGCACTACATCCAGTACCTGTGCAAGTGCTGTTGGGTACTGCACTTCACGGGGCAGTTTTGTATTTTATAAATAGTCAGGGTGTGGGTAGATGTGCATGTTTGTAGAGTGAACTAAAATACTAAGTAAACTTAAAATTGGTATTTTTGGCATGGAATATCGCTGTAGCCAGAAAATAGGCTTGTGTTTTACCTGGATTCTGTTACTTACATCAGTGATATATTGATGCAGAAATCAAGCAGTACAACATTCACTAACTGAGAGGTTAACTTGGATACCAGAGGATTGACTAAATTATGTCAAGAATGTAGACCTGTAGACTCTAGGACATAATGAAAGGATTGAATCCTGCTTCTACTTACTAGTTGTATCACTGTGAGCAGATTGAATAACTGCTGTATGCCTCAGTTTTCTCATCTGTACACTGGAAATAATAATGTGCTTAATGGTGTAGAATAATGAGATGGTCGTACCACAGCACAGTAGCTCTGAGCCCAATAAAGGATTAAGTGTTATTAATCTCCAGTTATGCTGTAGAGATGACATAATTCTGTTTAATGAGGAATATTATGGTTAATACTTTTTAGCCACCCCCCCAAAATATACAGTCATAAATTATTCATTTAAATATCCCCAAATTCTAAAAGCAGAAGTTATCATTTAGAGAAGATACTGAGCAGAGGTGCTTCTATGGACTCAGAATTAAAAGATCCCAGAGCTGTGTGACCTTGGACAGGTAACTGATGTCTGGGCCTGAGCTGCTCAGAAACAATGTGGTGAAATGGAAGGTGTGTGAACTGACTAAACATTAAATGCCCTTGGGTATCTCAGACTGTAAAAAGAGGGGGTGAACTTAACTACTGGCAGGTTCCCTAGGCCACCTTCAGCTATGAAGTTCTGTGGTTGCAAATCTTTTTTCCGTCTACCTTTGGATTATTTTCAGGTTCAAATAACTAGCAAATAAAGACCAGATTATTTTTCCAGCTCCTTGTTTCCTCATTAATTCAGGGAGTTAGTGAGAAAGTGAAGAAACTCAATATTGTCATTAAAAAAATTTGTGTGGCATATGATAGGTGCTCAAATAATGTTTTTGAATAAATAAGGAAGGCAGATGGTAAATCTGTTATTAAAAGATCAATTAACTAATATGGACAGATTATGTCAGCTGACAAGAGAATCCCAAAATCTTTGCCAGAGTTACAGCAACATCTGTTGTAGAAAACTAGAAAACAATCAGATGAGTAGAAATTGGTGTCTGGCAGTGAAAACACAACTGTTGCTCTTTTTAGAAAATCAAATTTAAAAAAGAAAATTGAAACCAGGTGAAAATAAGTATAGACCAGACTGTGTATGAGCTGCAGACAAAACACAAAGGAAGTCTTCCTAAGAAAATGATTCTTGAAGAAAATACTGATGAAGGCAGGGGAGAAATAGCATTTTGGCAGAAAGAGCAAACACATGGAAGTTAGTAAATGGTCAGTGGGAACAAGTACAACTCAGACACTTCTGCTGAGCCAGCTTTTATAATACTCATCAATGTGTGTGAAAGTGAGTGGTATTTTCATACCCTGCATGGTTATTTATTAAAAAAAAATTTGTGTGTGTGTATTTCTGTTGCTGTATGTTTAAACAAAACTCCACAAACATTATAAAATGTGCATTTGAGTTGAGTTGGAGATACATTTGTGAGCAACTCTCATTAGAAGTTTGTCACTTGGCCCAAATGATACCTTATTAGATGCTAATGTGAAGTTAGGAAAGCCTTATATAGAAAACATCATATTTCATCATAATAAAATATTTATTGAGATTAGTAATTTTGTAGAGTAAAACAAATTCTTTTACTAAAGTAACTTCTCTAGAAGGGTTGATAGACTGGAAAAGACTGGGGGAAGTATATATATATATATATCTTTATAAAATCATCTTTTTCTTCCAAATTGAAAATATGTATTAAATAATTAGTAGAATACTTTAATTTGGTACCTGCAAGAATTCTTCTGTTTTGGTAAGCAACCCACTTTCAGTATAAAGAGAACAACACATCACACATTTTTTTTGTATTATACTATAGCCATCTAGTGCTTAACTCAATAGTATTTGAGTATCTAGAATGTGAAAATTAGTTTTAGGGATTCTTCCTGAAAAATAGGGGGAAAGTTTCCAGATTTCCCCACTGAAGCTCATTGCTTGACTTGTATACTACTTTTAATAGGGAGAAGTTTAGATGAGTAATAGCATGTATGTTAGATTATAAAGTTTTTTTTTTCTGACTACTTGAGAAAGATGGTAAGTTAAAAGCATGTCATGTATTTCCTTGTATCCCAGCTGGTGTGTGAAGATCTTGTTTCTCTGTTTGAAGAGTGCACAGCAGTGCAAGCATTGCTTAATCATGTGTCATGTAACTTTAAACACTGGCCAACTCCCTGAAATGTTTCAGACACACCCACCCACATGCACACCCTCTCACTCACACTTACCTGTCTCCTGGGGGCTGCCGCTTAATGAAGTGCCAGCCCGTTTGCGTCCTCTGTGCCCAAGAACACTACCTGTGTACATGCAGATCAGCTGCTTTGGAAACCTAGGGCTTAAGGTCACATGACTGTTGCTATGAGTGTGGAGGTGCATTTTTCTTTCTTTCTTCTGCCCTTCCTATTTTTTTTTTCTTTTAATTGGGGAAATGCTGCAAATTCACAGATCTTTGCATATCTGAAAACTTTGGACTCCTGGCTTTTTACTGCTAGATTATCTTTGGATTTATCTTAGGGTGCCACACCTCCTATCAAGGCTGCAGCTGTGGGCTTTTCTGACAAGCAAGGAGCTTTTGAGGGCACAGTGGAGAAACCTAGGCCTGAGCCTGCAGAAGTCCTCCATGTCTGCAAGACCCAGGTCGCTGAGCTGGAGCTGTGGTTGCACCAAGCCAACGTGGCATTCGAGCCGGAAACACTAAACTGGGACATGCAGCAGGTGGTGGAACAGCAGCTGGTAGGGTGCCAGGTAAGGCCAGTGGGTCGGAGTTCATGGCTTGCCTCTTCACCAATCACCTTCCAAGACTGGGTAATTTTCTTAAAGCAACAGTGTGTTTCTTCATGTTCCTCTGACTACATTTATCTTGGTCTCCACTTTTTGCTCTCAGGATAATTCTCCGAACATATGTAAGCAGAGTACCTGGGGAGACAGTAATGGGTAAGAGCTCAGAATCTAGAGTCCAAACCCAGCTCCATCATATTAACTGTGGATTGAAGACATGACCTCTTACCTCATTTTCCTCATGGGAGGTTATCTCATAGGACCTAATTTGAGGACTAAATGAGATGAGGTTTATAAGCCAGTGTCTGTTATATGAAAGTATTTTAAAAATATTCAGTAAATGTAACTTCTTTATTGGTAATAGTAAGCTCTTTGAATTTCATCAGAAATGAAACTGAATATCCTGATTGCATAAAAGGGTTTTGGTGTCATTTTCCAGGAATGTCTCTACTCTTGCTTGGGAGGGGCAGGAGTAGAAACTTCCTTGCCTTTAGCCACTTTGAGTAACTTTGCTGGCTCAGCCCGAAGGTTGGGATCTTTGTGCCCCTCCAGGGAGGTGCTGAATGATGACACTGCAGCCTCATTATTGGTTGTCACAACAGCTGAGGCTCCTTTCCCAGTGGCGCTGAGACCAGCCTTCTGGTGTCTCTGCTTGTTTGGCTCATTTGTATGCTGCAAGGGATGAGGACATCCTCTCAGAGTCTGGTCCAGCCACTATAACCCTTTATGGGGTTAGGGGTAGCCCACCCATGGTCCAAGGCTGGTACTCCTCCCCTATTCCCATTCAGGCCTGTGGTCTTGCAACACCCAGTGCCTGCAGGTGGGAACCCGGGCAGGTTGGCTGACCTTCCCTGGGCAACTCAGCGCCTCTGACCCCAGAAGTCAGCTCTGATGGGATGGTTTCGTTCATGTGCTGGCACTACTGCCAGGCCCGGCTGATAGGCACAGGGGAGTCTGGGAAAGACAGAGTGTACTACAGGGTGGAGCAGCCTGCACTACACCAAACCTGTAGCTTTCCAAGTGTTGAGTCTCAGCCGCCTCAAGCTGTGCAGGATTGATTTGCTCACTGACTGACCTCATGCCAATTCCTCGATTATCACTGGAATTCCATTCTCCTGCCACTTGTTGTGAGTGAGTTTAAGGGTTTGGGGGCTGCTCAAGGGAAAGGCACAACCAAAAGGAGGTGGTAACACATAACGCACAGTGAACTGACTTAGGCAAAGTTGTGGTGGGATCTTGGACAGGACAGTCCCTCGCAGCAGGAGACCTTCTAGAGGCTGTGGCTTGGAACAGGGGTGAGGCCACACCAGAAGAGGAAGAAGGCACAGGAATTCCAGGAGAGCAGGCAGTACAGATGCACAGCTGGGTGATGTCAGAGCTCCAAAGGGCAGCAGAGGCTGGGTGTGTCTGACCCCCCAGTTTGCTTCAACCATGGCTAACAGATGTGGGGTCCAATTTTGAGTCGGGCACCAGTGAGATCTGAGCTAATGTGTCCTGGCCTGCTGTGAAAAAATAAACGACAAAGCAGCATATACAGGGGCCGTCGTTGACTCATTTATGTAACACCGTGGCACATACAGTTTAATATTGAAACATAAAAAAATGTCTTAAAAATGCTGAGTTCCCAGTGGGAAAATGCCCAAAGGAGAGGAGCAAACATGAGTCAAGAAAAAATTATATTTAGTAATTTAATATTTGAGAAGAACTGTTGAGCCTTGATTATTAATGTCATGTGAATCAAAACAGCTGTTGTTTGTTCTACATTACATTGGCAAAAATGATGTCATCCTGGAAAACTCTGGAGAAATAGACCCATTAGCATCTCATGGTTCAATGTTGTGGGAGGTCAGCCATCAGCATAGAAAGTACCCATCTTATTTGAGCTGACATACCATTACTTTAAATTTATCCTCTGAAAATAATTCAAAAAGGAGAAAAATATTTATGGTAGCATTGATTACAAAAGTGAAGAACTAGAAACAGCTTAAAGACTGCACAATAGGGAAGTTAAGTGCATCATAGAGTATCTACTTGAAACTATGAAAATGGGAATCGTGAAACATACCTATGTAGGAAAAGTATATATAAAATAGCTAAGTTTTTAAAAGGGGCACAGAGTTATAGTACATTTTGTTTAGGGCCACTCCAAAAATATATGAGAACGTATTGTTTAAGCTGTCCTAAGACTGTAGGGGATACAAGTAGTTTGCTTGATGGAGGGGAGTTATAAGGTACGTTATTTGAAAAATTATTTTAAGGGTAGAATTTTCCTTAAGTTTCTCTCAAAGAACTGAACTTGTTCCTGGTCACGCACTGAGTTTTTAGCACAAATGATCTCAGTACTGGGACGTGAGTTGGATTGCTGTTGCTGCACTTAACATGCCAAGCCAGTTGGCACATCTTTTGGGCTTCTGAGCCCCAGGATAGGGCAAACTTGGTCTGTGAGGAAGAATACAGTGGTGACTTTCTGGGAAACTTATTTCATCCAGCAGATTCATTTTTAGACCCATGTAAGCTGGCCAGCTGTATCAATGACTAAGTATTTTAGGTTCCAAATTATTTCTTCTGTGGTGGTGTTCTGATATTTTGGAAGCTTTCTTGGCTTGAGAAAGAGAAGGAAAAGAGCCAGGGAAAGAATTTTCAGAGTTGTCTGAAATTCTTTTTTTAATTACTACCCAACACTTGGATTGTAACGGAAAATATTGGGAAGGTGGTGGGGAAAATAGCATAGACGATGTATCAAGCACTGGCCGAAGTACATGGATTTAACTCACTCTTCAGAGAGGCCCTAAGTTCTGTTATTCCCCTTTTACAGGTGCCTAGAGGCAGACTGAAGCAAAGTAAGGTGCCCAGGTTTACCTAGTCACTCAGTGGCAGGGCTGGGTTTTGAACCTAAGTAGTCTAGTTCTAGCGTCTGTGTTCTTGACCATTGTGCTATACTAGACACCATTAGCCATGTGTGATAGGGTCACTTCAGATTATTTTAGAGAGTGACACATGTGGTTTGGGATTGGTTAGGTTGCAGTCCCTTCCCCCCCCCCCCAGGGAAAAACACAGGAATTATATGAAAGTTGTTCTTTTTTCCTGATGGTTTTCATTTGAAACCTGCCTGTCAGGGACTTCTTACACTTACAGTGAATCTGACTTAATGTGGGGCATAATACTTCCTCAAGACCAAAATTTTGAATAACTAAATAATTTTATTTCCTAGGCTATGCTGACAGAGATTGAGCACAAGGTTGCCTCTCTGTTAGAGAATTGCAAAGATCAGGGCCTGGGAGAAAGTGGAGACACTCAACACGAGGCTGAAGCACTTTCCTTGAAACTAAAAACTGTGAAATGCAATTTGGAGAAAGTCCAGGTGATGCTTCAGGAAAAATACAGTGAGGACCAGGTAAAATACGGCCATGTATAGACATGTCTGTAGATGGACATTTATGGTAGACCATCAGGAAGGGGCTCTGGGTGGAGATGATCAAACTAGAGGAATTATACTAAGAAAGAAAAAATCACGCCTTTTAAAACTGAATGGGGTGGTTGAGCCCTCTCTTGTTACTGCTTTGATTTTGCTGGTGGTTTTCCTGGGTGGGTGTTAGTTTGGTTTGCTTAGGTTGAGTGTCCTTGCCAGTAATAAGGTCTGGTGTAAGCATTCTTTATCAAGGAAGGCTGTATTTTAAAGGAATTTTGTGACTCCTATTGCCCAGAAAACAAAGCTTTTATAGATAAGATTAAAATGTGACATCAAAAACATAAAACCCCCATGAAAACTATAAGATGCTCTTAAGAGAAATTAAAGAGGACACTAACAAATGGAAACTCATCCCATGCTCTTGGCTAGGAAGAATTAATATCATCAAAATGGCCATCCTGCTCAGAGCAATACACAGATTTGATGCAATCCCTTTCAAATTACCAACAGCATTCTTCAATGAACTGGAACAAATAGTTAAAAATTCATATGGAACCACCAAAGACCCCGAATAGCCAAAGCAATCCTGAGAAGGAAGAATAAAGTGGGGGGGATCTCACTCCCCAACTTCAAGCTCTACTACAAAGCCACAGTAATCAAGACAGTTTGGTACTGGCACAAGAACAGAGCCACAGACCAGTGGAACAGAATAGAGACTCCAAACATTAACCCAAACATATATGGTCAATTAATATATGATAAAGGAGCTGTGGACATACAATGAGGAAATGACAGTCTCTTTAACAGATGGTGCTGGCAAAACTGGACAGCTACATGTAAGAGAACGAAACTGGATCACTGTCTAACCCCATACACAAAAGTAAATTCGAAATGGATCAAAGACCTGAATGTAAGTCATGAAGCCATGAAACTCTTAGAAAAAAGCATAGGCAAAAATCTCTTGGACATATACATGAGTGACTTCTTCATGAACATATCTCCCTGGGCAAA